CACAGCCTCATTTTGCCTGGCGCACCATGCCCAGCCACAGCTCTCGGAGCTGCCACAGCCCTGCACCCCTCCAGCTCAGCACTGGTTTTAACTGAGTTTAAAGTTTTCTGCAGGTCCAGAGCACTCCTTGCACCCTGGCCCTGCAGGCTCAGTCCTTCACCAGGCACACTGGCAGGAGGGGGTCACTGCCAGGCTCCAGAACTGGGAGAGACATCCAGGGCACGTTCCTGGTGGGGGTCATTGTTGGGGTTTACACTAGGCTGGCTCCAAGCCCGTCAGCAATGGAGAGGAGCAGTTCCAAAGACAAGGAGATAGGAAGCCCCCTGTGTGCTGCAGCTGGCTGCAGTCGTTTTGACAGCATTCCCTTTGCATGTGCTTCTCCGGCTAAATATAATTGCAAAACATACATTTACATGCAATTATCCATTTATGAAGTGCTAATAAGTCAAAGGAATTTACTTAGATGCAATCTGCCTGGCAGACCTTGTCCTCACAGGACCCAAGCACAAACATCCAAGATCAGTGCAATAGTCAGTGCAGCCAACTCTAAGATACTAAATCATTCCCACATCTTCCCATTAACTCAGCTCCAGCCCATCAAATATTAAAGAGCCTCAAGCCTGGACACAGCTCTTTTCACAAAGATCGAGTAAGTCTTTCATCTCTTCCCACCTTCATCCTCCTGCTCCCATCAGCAGAGGAGCATCACATGCTCTTTCATGTGAGTTCTGACTGCACACACACTGAGTCCCAGTAATTGCTGTACATGGCTCCTCCATTCCACAGAGACATGATTCTTTTGGTGCTATTTTTGCTTTATAAAGCAAGAAGAAGAGCTGACTCTGCCTGAAGGGGGGGCTTTTACTGAATTTTTTGTTTAACACTCTGTGGTTTCTCAGTGTACCCCATCAATACCAATGAGCAAATAACCAGAACACAAAGGCTGAGGAGCTGTCAGCAGGTAAAGGGCTGGTGAACGCCCATGGGACATCACCCTACCAGTTTGTTCCACAGAGGAGGACAAAGGGCCCCACAAGTCCCCATCCCACTTTTCCGCCTCCAGCATCCCCAGTACAAGGACTTTACAAGGCCAAGGGGGCTCGAGGGTCTCTGCCTGCTTTCTTGGGGACTCCTGCGCTTGCTGGGCTGCTATGAGAGGCAAGCAAACTCACCTGGCTGGCTCACCTGGCCAGAACTGCTGTTTGACATGCAAAGATCCTGTGCAGGCTGACGTTTTCTCTGGGGTGACCTTCCCACCAGGGAAGCAGCTTAGTTGCCATCTGGCTCAGGTCTTCCCTTCCCGGCAGCACAACCTGACCTCAAGCACCCCGTGTTTGACTCGGACTGCATGGAGCTGTGCCCCCAGGAGAACCAAGGGGACCCCGGGAACCTGGAGACACTTCCAGCTCCCTACAGAGACTTCATGTGACACAAGAAAACACCAACACCAAGCCAAGGCTGGGGAGCTGCTTCTGGACACGATTCCCCTTTTGCCAGCTGAGGGGATTCAGCAGCTACAAGTGCTTTCCTCTGAAGTGGGTAAGGAATCAAAAAATGTAACAGAAAAGTAGGGATCACAATAGAATTGGCCCAAACCAAACCCAGGGTCTGCAAATGCCAAATCCCATTTGCTGCCCAAGTGTCTCAGTCTCCATCCCACAGCTCCCTGGGGCCAGCTCCAGTCCCAGGAGCTCTCAACAGCCCCAGCACCCAAGCACAGCAGCACCAGTGCCTGCTTCCACCCTTGGGGACGTGCATCCCTAAAAACAGTCAGCAGAGTATCCCCAGGTCCTCTCCCAGGCTCTTCATTCCCCAGAGACTGCCTTTGGGCAGGAGCATACCTCAGCTCCCAGAGCAGCCCCTGGCTCCCCATAGCAGCCAGAGGCTCAGCTTGCTTCCTCCTGCCACAGGACAGTGCTCCAGAGCCAGGGCTAGCCCATGGCCAGGACACAAACCCGAATGGTGGCACAGGGCACAGCAGCTCTGGCTGGGCACCGATGCCCTCAGGTTCCTCTGCACGACACAGCTCCCTGGGGCAGAGCTAGACCCAAACTCCAGAGCTCCCGGGTGCTCCAGAGGCTGCCGGGAGTGCTCGAGCCCTGTACAACACCTTCCTTGCCCACCTGCAGCCCTGGCACCTCTGCCTGTCACCAGCGGGGTCAGCTGAGCCCTGCCCTGCTCCAGGGCTCTCCAGCATCACCTCTCCTGTGCTCCAGGAATCTCCAGCATCACCTGTCCCGTGCTCCAGGACTCTCCAGCATCACCTCTCCCGTGCTCCAGGGCCCTCCAGCATCACCTGTCCCGTGCTCCAGGGCCCTCCAGCATCACCT